AGGACGACGATGACGATGACGATGACGATGACGACGATGATGTCGATGTCGATGTCGATACCGGCGATGGCGATTCGACAATAACTATATTGTTACTGGTATTTGGTCCAAATAATGAACTCGTTGAATTTTCTTCAATTCGAACTGTGCTATTATTATTTTTGCTATGATTATTTTCCACAAGATAACTCATCGTTGTTATGCGAAAGTTGAGTTTCGGTTCTTCCGCCGAGTTCTCGCGTATCAATTTTGAGTTTGATATGTCAGTAGCAATGGCATCAAATCGTTTCCCGATTTCATCAACGTTCTTTTCGATCAATGTCCTTGAAGCTATTCGATCGAGCAAAGCTCCGTCGATAGTCTTGGCATAGTCCTCGTTTTCATATATTGTCTCTGCGTTGCTCGAGTGACTTATTTTCCGCGACTGTCCCTCGTTTACCAACTCACGATGAATCAAGTAAATGTCATCGTGTAAATGATTCTTGTCAGGATCGAAATAAATCGTCGACTCTACCTGTTCGTCATTCTTCGACATGCAGTTTCCTTCCTTATCATCGAAGAACTCGTTTTCCTCGAACTTATGATTTCCCATCCATCCGTCGCCATTCCCTTCGTGTTTAGTATTTTCTACCGTGTAAATGATCGTTCTCTTCTTCGTAGATTTCACTACACGATCGATCATCGATTGTTTATTAACGTATTTATACATTTTTTTCTGTGCTTTTGATTCATTCTCCAATCTTCGGATGCTATTCCTCCCTTTCTTTTTATCTTCTCGCCATTGTCTGCCATTCTCTTGCTGCTCTTCATCAGTCTGTCCGATTTTACTGCACGGAGACAAATTCCTCGAACGAAGTTCGTGTTCACCATCGTTGTAACAATCGTCGGTAATGGTGAAACTTTGTAGTATCTTCAAAGCGTCAGTCGCATCGGTATGTGTGTCCATATGTTTAAAAATTTCATTCTCTCTTATTTGCGATTGCTTCACCGGTAACAATTCGGTTAATTGAACTTCTTCTTGCAGCTGTTGTTCACTTTCAGCTACTTGATTCAAAATATTTTGTTGCATATCGAGCGTGGCCATTTAACTTTTTCTCTTACTTTTACATAAACATTCGTGACATGTCGTTCACTCTTTCCCTCCTTTCATCAAGACGCATGTCAACGATGATTTATTAAAGTTACAAAGCCGCAACAAATCTTGAAATCGTACAATGCGCTCGGTTATCGGTTTTTGATTTCCTTGGAGAGAAAAGATTCTTTTCGATTTATTTCTCGTGACAAGGCTACTTGCAACTAGGAACAAAAAAAAAGAGATAGCAAAGCATATGCCCGTGTTAGTAAAAGTAACTATACTTCGTTATCGTGTTCTTATCGTTTCGATATTTCCTCTTTTTTCCCTTTCTCGCTCTCTTCTCTTGTTCCTTCCCACTTCTATGTGCGTTTCCTTTCCTCTCTCTTTTTAACTCTTTCTTTCGTTTCCTCGTCTGCACGATTTGTAGCATTGACTTTTTTACACATTAAAGCGCTCGAAGTGCGTGTGTTACCTTGTCCAAGATTTAGCAAATCGTTGCGAACATCTTAAGTTAGTAGTTAATTAATACCGATCCTATATGCTTAATTGAAACACAGGAATTAAAAGAGTCAGCGAATGAAAGAAAAAGGGAGGAGGGGGAGGGGGGAGGGAGGAAAGACTAATTTCGTAGAGAGTATCTAGGCGTTTTCGTTTCTCTTCTTACTTACAATTCCTTTGGTGTATACTTACTAATAACAACTTCCCTTTTCACGTGGTAGCTTTCTACAAATACGTGTTTCTTCCGTGCGCGCATTGGAATCACCGAGACTGTGTTACAAGAATATTGGAAGAAGTGGAATAGCGCTAAAACGGCTGGTCGACGAAGAAACGATGTACTGAATTTCCGCAAGAAGAACGAAAGGATCGAGTGATGATTACGCGATGAAATTTACCAATGTACCGAGTATGGGAATGCGCGAAGCTTTTTCTTCTGATCGACGAAATGATTGATACCAGTGCAAGAGAGAATATTGGCTGCGAAATAACCACGGCAGCCATATAAGGAAAGAACGACAGAACAACAAGGTTATTGTTCGTTGCGACGATCGACTGACTGGTTGTTCCTCGCGGCGGTACACTGTTTCCTCAACAGCGATTGCGCGCCTTTTTCCACGCAAGCGCAATTCGCGGTCGATATTGCTCTGAATTTCACCCCTCCGCCCAACCAGACATCCTCTCCACCCTGCTTTAGACTCTCTCCATACCCTTTTCGTTTTTTCCAATCCCCCTCCTACGAATTTCTTCTGTACAACCTCTTGCCTTCCTTTCTTCCCATTCGATCATTTGCTACATTTACACGCCAGTGTCTTTCCACTAATAATCCCCGACTTCTACTGCTACTACACTAATATTCGATGGCCACTCGGAAATCATGATTCTTCATATA